ACCCCGCTCCGCCTCCACCCCGCTCCGCCTCCCACCCCGCTCCGCCCTCCACCCCGTTCCGCCTCCACCCCGTTCCGCTCCACCCCGTTCCCCCTCCACCCCGTTCCGCCTCCACCCCGTGCCGCCTCCACCCCCGTTCCGCGCTCCACCCCGTTCCCCGCCTCCACCCGTTCCGCCTCCACCCCGCTTCCGCCTTCCACCCCGTTCCGCCTCCACCCCGTTCCGCCTTCCCACCCCGTTCCCCTCCCACCCCGGTCCGCCTCCCACCCCGTTCCGCCTCCACCCCGTTCCGGCCTCCACCCCGTTCCGCCTCCACCCCGTTCCGCCTCACCCCGTTCCGCCTCCAACCCCGTTCCGCCTCCACCCCGTTCCGCCTCCACCCCGCTTCCGCCTCTACCCCGTTCCGGCCTCCACCCCGTTCCGCCTCCACCGTTCCGCCTCCACCCCGTTCCGGCCTCCACCCCGTTCCGCCTCCACCCCGTTCCGGCCGTCCACCCCGTTCCGCCTCCACCCCGTTCCGCCTCCACCCCGGGCCGCCTCCACCCCGTTCCGCCCTCCACCCCGTTCCCGCCTCCACCCCGTTGCGCCTCCACCCCGTTCCGCCTCCACCCCGTTCCGCCTCCACCCCCGTTCCGCCTCCACCCCGTTCCCCCCAACCCCGTTCCGCCTCCACCCCGATTCCGCCCTCCACCCGTTCCGCCTCCCCGACCCCGTTCCGCCTCCCACCCCGTCCGCCTCCACCCCGTTCCGCCTCCACCCCGTCCGCCTCCACCCCGTTCCGCCTCCACCCCGTTCCGCCTCCACCCCCGTTCCGCCTCCACCCCGTCCGCCGTCCACCCACGTTCCGCCTCCTCACCCGTTCGCCCTCCACCCCTCGTTCGCCTCAACCCCGTGCCGCCTCACCCCGTGCCGCCTCAACCCCGTGCCCCTCAACCCCGTTTGCCGCCTCAACCCCGTTCGCCTCAATCCAGTTTTCCGCCTCAATCCCGTTTTCCGCGCTCAACCCCGTTCCGCCTCAAACCCCGTTTCCGCCTCAACCCCGTTCCGCCTCAACCCCGTTTCCGCCTCAACCCGTTCCGCCTCAACCCCGTTCCGCCTCAACCCCGTTCCGCCTCAACCCCGTTCCGCCTCAACCCCGTTCCGCCTCAACCCCGTTCCGCCTCAACCCCGTTCCGCCTCACGCCGCCGCACTTCGACCCGCTTCGCCACTCTTCGCCCCGCTCTTCCCCATTCCGCCTTGCCCCGTTCCGTTGCTCTCCATCTCACCCCGCATTATACAGCTCCCCTTACAATTCCGCTCCGCGGGATCGCGTCTTTCGCTGCTGTATTCCACCTGCCGCGTCTCTCCCCGAATTTGCCGGCCGAATTTCTATTACCTTCCTTCCCCCTTCCCTACCTCTCTCCATTCAGTTCGGCCCCGCCTACGCCTCTTCACTCCACCGAGCCTCTCCTGCCAGCGTAAAATGTGAATAGTTTTGGGGGGTCGGAACGCATTTAATGAAGACGGCTTACAGACCTTGCGCCTGCAGATTATGCAACACTTATCGCAGATCACTCACGTACGCTTAGCGTGTTGCATTGGCCGTCGGGAAAATTTTGAAGGGCAGTAATAAGTCAGAGGAAAAACTAAGTCCGTGCAAGTTCAAACAATTTGAGTAACTCCGTAACAATTTGAGTTTTATTCACGTGCCCCAGTTCAATTAACACGATTGCACCCTTTGAATCATAACATTTATTTTTGAAGCATTTATAAGATGTTTTATTTTGTATGTGTGGAAGAAGGGTCGGGTTATAGCTATGTTGCTCCGATCCCTGTCATTGTTTTGTTTTTATTTTTTTATTTTGCTGTGTTCGTAGTTAATAGTAGTTGGACTCAGCATAAAAAGTAAAATAACGTTAAAGACAATAATACAGTAATAGTTTTTCCCAAATGAACTTTATTGCTCTGGAGATCGTCATGAATATCGAGGATAACTTTGACAAATGTGACAACTGGTTTGTCACAACTGCCGAACCAAACATCGGATAATCATCGTGACTTATTAGATATTCAACATTTTGTTTCATTTTCCAACTCAATTCCTGCAAATTCCAAAACTGCACCGTGCACTGTAGTGCCCAAAAGTATTCACACACACAAACTATGGCTTTGAGTTTTCGCAATAAAAAAAACAACAAGAAAACAAAAACCAACCGGTGAACCTGTGCATAAAATATTTCCTATTTATAAAATTTCGCTCTTCATTTAAGCATTTGGGCCGCATTATTATCTAATACCTATAACACTTAAACAACTCTTGCCGCAATAAATTGTAACCAAAGTCTAATACCTAAATATCTGTTCCATTTTGTTCATGCTGCTCATTTGTCTCGTTTCTTTTTCATTGTACCAATTTTAAATACTTTTAGGGTAGTGTGTAAGCAGTGTGAATGTTTCAGGGATGTGTCACTTCAACTCCTCTTTGTGTACATATATAGTAATGAAAAATGTGCAAGTTCGTTGTTCTGTACGCAATAATGTTTTAACAAAATAAATACAAATCACATTTATAAATGCCTTCCATTACACAGTTTTAACCTACATGCCCTTGTTGCACTTCACTGGCGGGCGCCGTTCTGTATTTAGACCTCCGCGACTGGTAATGTTCCCTCACACGTGCATGCAAAACGCTTTGCAACGCGCGTTCTCGCGCAACGATACACGACGAAAGCATTCTCTCGGCGCGAGTAGCACGGGCGCGGCTGGTGGCGGCGGTGAACCGGGCAGCCTCATGAGGTTGCCCAGCCCCAGGCAGCAGCGGCCGGGAGCCCGGGCCGAGGCACGTGCGGTCCACGGAACGAGAGGTGCGGAAGAGAGCGGGGAACGCTGACCGGAGGCGGAGGCGGCGGCGGCGGCCGCGAGATCAAAGGCATGTCGCCCTCCTGTTCGATCTCCTGCCTCCCCCGAACGACAGGTCGGCGCAGCGACCATCCGAATGTCGCGTTTATTTCGAGGCTTTGTCACACAGAAGTACGTGCGAAAAATAATTACGTTTTAATGATTAAATTTCAGAGATATCAATAATGCGCGATTGTGATACACAGGGTTGATTAATTAAAAATAACAGAGAAATCCAATCAATTGGGAAATTTACTACCAACGCGAATAAGTATTTGATGAACTATAAAGTAATTTTCTATTAAACCCAGCACTCGAATTGTGCCGTTCGCATTGTGCACTTACTTTAATATTTAATTAAATTCATTAAATGCAAATCTTCATTGTCATCTTCAACATACACAGCAAGGATTAGGTCCCTAGGATTTTTTCCGTCTCCAGGAATTTAATATCGGTATTGGGGCTTGTATTCACAACTTTGCAGTGGGGTATGTGAAATATCCATTCTTTGTTGATGGCCATAACATTGGAACGTATACTAAAATTCCAATTTGTTCTATATTACTATCCTGAAGTTCTAGTCATTTTTGTATAGTACCGCAAAGTCACCGTCAGTAGTCCAAGAAATCACATTTCCGCTGCTTCGATCATCTTATTTTGTGCTGTTATTGTCCATGTCTACATCACACATCAGATCTAGAACCGCCCTACTTCTGTAGACTTTAATAAAGGTCTCATTTCGTTCTTTACTTGACAAAACATGCTTCACTGCATTATAAGTTGCAACTATTTAAAAAGCTTTGCTTTGTCCTTAGAACGATAAAATGATTTATTGTACTCCAAGTAATTGAAATATGTTGTGCAATTGTATTATCATTAATTATTTCAATCATTGCTAGAACAGGAGTTCCTAATAAATGCCAACATTTTGTTTTTAGAGATGGATATATTTAGACCTTATTCTCTGTCAATATTAAAAAAAATATGAACGTTTGTTCTCAGAAGATATTATTTTCAATCTGTCAGGATAACCTGGTCATTTCCAATGTATATAAAGGCTTTTTCAAATAGAAAGTGATGTCAATTGTCTTTCCCCATCACTGTACCACGTCACAAAGATATGAATGAAAAAGAATGGGTGACAATGGACAACCTTGTATTACATCTTGAGTTGCCTGTATTACGTAAACCATCAGCTTTCTTCACTCTTATAGGCCCATAAATATTCGAGTACATGCTGTGAAAGCTCTTCTCAGCACTTCCTTTCATAATTTTATTTGACTGTCTTAAATGTCTTTTTTAAATCTACAAACGCCATGAATGTAATCACACTTATTCCATATAGATCCAGATCATTACATAATTCACATAATCAAATAGACGGGTTGATACCAACGTAATAGATTTTATTTAAAATTCGATGAGTGAAACAGTTTATTTACAGAGTTTTACAGACAGTTGGCGAAACCGTGAAATATCACAAAAAATGTTAACGTTACTTGATAATGATTAGTCACTCAGACCATTTTTAAAATTGTCTTTGCCGCCTCATGCACCTAAGCGAATCTTGTGTTCCTTTTAGCACACTTTAGCACAATGCACCTCCGTAAGACGCACAACGTTACACTCTTCTCCGTGTAGCAATGCCGCCACATATGGTGCAGCTAAAATTAACGTCCATTAATTAGGAACTCTCCAAAAACAGTTTTAATGATATATTCAAATCATCATTTATTTGAAATTAGGAGAGCGATAATAAACTTTTATTAGGCCTCTAAGAACAGGAATAAAATAATTTTAAATTAAACAATTTTAAATTCCCAATCGCGCATTACATCACATTATTATCGCAATGTGCATCAACGTCCACAACTTGTAATTTAAAGTCCATATCGCCTCCGACAATAGACTTACTTTAAGATTCCAAAAGCATATTTTCATAAATATGAAAAATCAATGAAGAAACGTACCTTCCTGAATTATTCTAACATATGTACAGTTCGTTACATACATATAATGTGTTATTGGTGACATATATGTTATATTTTACATATATTATTCGTATACTATTATGTTGCTCCAATAACTCTCGCATACATGTTCTAAATCTTAAAAGCGAAATTTATGTCGAACAATGATTAATAGTTGTTTTTTTTAATGATCGCCACAGCACCACCATCCCCTCCGCCACCGCCTCCGTCGCCACCAACGCCGTGCCGCCGCCGCCGTCGCCCAAAATACCCGGGCGTGGGAGCGCAGCACCGGCCCACGCGCCGGGCGTGTGCCCCACCCCGCCCCCACGCCACGCCACGCCTCGCAGCTGTTCACCGCCGCCGCCGCCGCGCGGCCTTGAACCGGCGGCAATAAACACGGCCGCCCGGCTGGAGGAGCGACGGCTTCCTTCCTGTACGCTGCCGCCGCCACTCAAAGGCGCGAACCGGTAGCCGCGCGCCGGTAAATCAATCCGCTTTGCATCAGGCTGGACGGCGGAACACGCGTATTTGTGCCAGCTGTTGCCGGTAATGCACAAAAGAGCGCTCTGTAAAGCGTAAAAGTAAATAAAAGAGTTTTTCCTCCTCAATTTTTGTCGGTCGACGTTCTGGTGTTGAATAAATTATTTCATGACAGGTCCCACAAGGAGCATTGTTAAAAATACTCTAAAATGACAAATAAAATACTCTATGACACAATACTGTGTTTAATCTCTAACGAGGTAAATGACATCAGAGATTCAATAGTACAACCGTAGTAACAGTACTGCTGTAGTAGCAATACTACAGTAGCATCGAAAAAAAAGAACCGTTGGTGTATACCAGATCCATGATATTGTAACAAGGAAACTTGGTACAGTGTCATGGATCTGGTATACTCCAACGGTTCTTTTTTTCGGTATACTGAACTTCCTGGCAACCCAACTTTACGAATGCCGACTTTGGTTAGTTCATTAATGAGTTAAGAGTATTCCACTGAAGTGCAGATCTTATCGAAACTTAAATTAATCTGACTTGATGCGCCCAGTTATACAGAATATCTTATTTAGCTTTTTTCACTATTTTGAGTTTTGAAAAATGTTTTAAGATAACTTACACACATTGTACGGAACATTATCATCCCAACTTGAATCACCTTTCAAATCAAATGAACTTTTTATCAGTAAGAAAAAAGTTTTAAACGTTTCTATATATTTATATTTAGTATAGAACACCAACAGCAGTATTCACGTTGTCAAAAGATTGGATGTCACCTAGGTCACAAACTCCATACTGAGCTACCCAATAGTACGAGAGAAAAGTCCATAAGTGACATTAAAGGCAGACCGATGAAAAATTTTTGAATTAGGTCGAAATACTAATGGCATGAGTGCTTCAGAGCACAAAGGGTTGAAGTGCATATTTTGACACACTGTAAAACAATCTTCGATCCCTTTCCTCAAAGCCTGAGCAAATTTAAAAATAAATTAGTTTCTTGAATGTGGATTTGGTTATAAATTTTTAATAAAATTCAGTGCAATAACCCTATTGTCTTCGTTACTGATTATTATTATTATTATTATTATTATTTTATTATTTATTATTATATTATTTTATTATATTATTTTTTTCAATTATTTGATTCAATACAGTTGCAGTGGACGTTGGTGGCAACTGCCTATCGCAGTGCGGTGAAGTGTGGGGAAGTGAAGTTTGGTGAAGTGGAGTTCTATGAAAGATTGCACGGTGAAATGTTCATGTGATTTTCAGTGGATCATCATGTGGATTTGTTATAGAAATACCATATTATTTTATGTACGTCAAAAGGACTTCAAAAAAGGCTGGAAACAGTTACTGCTTCTAGCGAGGAAAAGGAAATTGGCTTTCATAGCATTTTCTCAGCGTTAATCACCGTTGAACTCTCAATTTTCTTAATAGGTAATCAACGTTGAACCAATTTGTCTTAATAGTTCTTAAAATACCAAAAGGTAAATATGTCGGATACGAGTGAAATGTTGAGCTGACGAAGCGACAGTAAGAAGCGGAGGGCCGGATATGTTTGAAATTAGTACGCCAAAACACGTTCAATAAGAGTTGCGTATACATTATTCCTTGTGTTAGAATTAACTGGCGACCTTAAAATATATATTAACTCTTGGCAGATCGATTATCAATATTTGAAGCGGACGTGTTTGATTCATATAACCCCAGGTTTACTTTGCCCAATACTAGGACATGGACTTCTTTGAGTACATGTACGGCAAAGACTTATAGAAACCTCTCTACTCCCCAAATCCCATCCATAGATTTAGATTAGATTTATTAATAATTCTGCAATTAAAGTGTGAAGCACTTGGTGGCCATGAATATACTAACATTAACATACAGAAACCTTTACAACATATACAAAACTCTAGCAAACGTTACAAAACAGCATGGAACATTTTACCGTGCAATTTTTCATAAACTCCACTTCACCAAACTTCACTTCACCACACTTCACCGCACTGCCGTATACAGTTGCACGTCACTGCAGTTTCACGCCACGCCAACGCACATAATAATATTATAATAAAATAATAATAATAATAAAACAATAATAAAAATAATTAAGAATGCAGGTAAGAAGACATAGGTAATTGCACTGAATTTTATTAATAAATATATTTATAACCAAAATCCACATTCAAGAAACATATTTATTTTTAAATTTGCTGCAGGCTTTGAGGAAAGGGATCCGAAGATTGTCACAGGCAAACTCTTCGCAGTCCCTAATTGTGCGATTCGCGAATGAATATTTCCCACGTCTTTTTCCTTAAATCTTGGGTCTGATTTTGTGCATGTGATCCGCTCCTGCCAAAAAAGTAGGTTTCCCTAATCGACTTTGGAATTTCTTTCCACCCCCCCCCCATCGAAGGCCTGTGTACGCCTTTATACATTGCAAATAGAGACTTCATCTTTCCTTTCGAGTGACTCCCATACCCCTTTATTCTTGGTTACGCCTGCAAGCTAAATTTTGATCTCTACGCTGGACTTTTTCTGATTTTCTTTGCTGCAAAAGTCTGAAGTGCGGACCCAACATACCGGCATATTCTAAATATAGGTCGCACTAATGACAATACATGCTAGGTTCTTTGCTTCTCACCTGTACTCTTTTTCCGTATATCCGCCATAACAAACATGTAATTTTCAGGCTTTTCCCTACAACGAAATTGACTTGATTTCCCAGCTCAGTTTAAGCTGTCTAGCTGTATTCTAAGTATTTGCAAGACGCTGACGTCGAAGTGTACTCGAAAATGTAGTAAATACATTTCATAATTCTGTAAATTACTTAGCTGACGAACTTAACGAGTCCGAAAAAAAACCTCTTTCATTAAAGATATGAGTTTTAATAAGGAAGCATATACAAAAAATACGGTCTACAAATAATGAGTACCCCAAACAAGCACAAAAACACAAAACATAAATGGATTTATTTGTCTTCAATAAAATTAAATTTCAAACTATAATAATGAGAAGAAATATATATATTTCGGTTGAATGCAATTGTAAATTATACTACGCCGTATGGTTTTTTAAAATTACAACGGCAAATTATGCAAAAATTCAATACAGTTTGCTTTATTAAAACGCATTTAAAATATGTGTGAGTGGTAGCAAGATTGAAAAAAACGT